TTTTTTTTTTTTTTTTTTTTTTTTGAATAAAAAGATTCATTTTCTTCAACAAAATTAATCGTGATATATATGTACTTCTAGAAATAGAGCTCTCTAGGAGCGTACTTGTGAATGTGATGTTCAAACTCATATATAGACCAGTCTAGAAATATAGTAAGAAACTTCTTCATCTGTATATATTTATCCCCCAAAAAATAAAAACAGATATATAAAAATGAATCCATACAACGTCCGAAAAATAATGGCATGAAAGAACAGCCCGATGAACCAGGAAGCCGCGGGGAGAGATGGATTAATGACAAATAATTCTTCCATACCAATAATGATTACAAATTATAAGTCAAATATCACTTTATACTAATATTAATATGTGTATATTAGCTAATTGCACATGGTGTTGCCAACCCTTAATCCCTCAATGATCTATGCGGTCTATGACCATTTTACGGTATGAACAATTCCCAAATATCATATGATATATGTTGATCATTGTCTCCTAACAATACCATATATATATAAATTAGATCAGTAATGTAAATATTAATTAATTTTTGATAAATAAGTACTTGGGGATTTATAAATTTGTGTATAAACTACACATTTGTTATATATCATGATGGCAAGTTTCTAAGATTGCCAGCTTAATATTTTCTAGGATCATGTGTCGCACATATAATTTTATGACGGTGGTTGCTCGATCTCTTTATTAATTTAAAGTAGTAGTTTCAGTTTGTCCAAACTTTCAAACTTTGAATGCCTCTCTCTCCAAAAAAAAAATAAAATACAGGGTGGTGGGCTAGGTGGGCAGCTCGCTATAAAACACTATGTGGTTCATGAATTTATACTATTTAATTTAATTTAATTTTAAGTGTCAGACTGTGTTCATTGGAGGTCAATATAGCCGTGAAGGTGATTTGAATATGATTTTCTGACCGAATTAAGTTATGAGCTCGTGTTGGGCATTGATCAGTGACCAGGTGCAAGTTGGGTTTGGTCCAATAGTTGATTTAGATGTCAGCGTTGTTGGGAACCCGCAATAAATAATTTTAATTAGTACCCTTCTGCTGACCCTTATAAGTGTCAAAGACTTTCTGCATCAACACAAAATTATACTAGTGGTATTTTAAATTTCTAATCAATCTTCAAACTAACCTACCTTCGCTGGAGTCGTCGATCCGAAACTAGTGACGTTTCTAAGGCCCATGTAGAGGGCATGGTTGATTAATTGGAGTTTACTTAAACGGTTGGATATCGACGTCTGTTAGAGTTTTGAATTTTAACAATATACCGTATAATATCTGTTAAAAGAAGTCACCTTAATATCAACATAATTAAACTATTCGATTAAAAAACAAAATAAATTTCGCACAACAATCAAATGCAATATATTAAATCATGCAATTTGACATTAGTTATTATGTGTTATTATAATGGTAGATGATGTAGTATAAGATTATTCTAATTTAATTTAAATAGAAGTTTTGAGTTTAAATTTTAAATATGGAACTGCATTAACTATTAATTTTTTTTTATTCTTCATGATAATTTTATTTAACTCGAACAAGATTATTTGTAATATATGTGAGCTTTATAAAAATAAAATAAAAATACAAGGGTTAGACCATCATTATTTTCTTTTTTAATAGACAAAAGTGAATATTATTAATTGTAATTGAGCTTCAACACTAACTACGTACCAATGGTAGTATGTGAGTATTGGAAACTTCTTAATATCAAAGTTCAATTCTTGTAACATTGTAAGTTTTTGTTAATTATTATTTTTAGTAATTATTATGTGTTGTGTTATTCTGAAGTTTGGTGTGATGAGACTTTAGGAGTTAAGAAACTTTTGAGAAATCTTTAGATATTTTAAAAGGTTTCTTTAGGTAGAGGTCCAGTTTGACTTTGAGGGAGGAAGTATATAAGGTTTCTTTTTAAAATTAATTTTTATAAGTTCAGTTCTTAAGAAGATAAACTAGAGAGAGAAACTTTAGAGTTTTGATCCTTCTTCTACTTTCTAGATTTCCCGAGCGTGTATGATCATAGTTGATTGATTGATGAGTTGGTGATTCAAGGCTTGTGAAGCTAAAAATTTGTGTTGGTGTGGAGTCTCGAAGCTTGACTTTCATTTTTTCTTATTCTTCCTCAGTTCTCTTTGAATTTAAGGTAATGAAAACTATAATTGATTTGTGGTTGATTTGTTTAAGTTGTATGTTTGTAATGGTTGCTAATCGGTTGCAATGGATGTAGTTGTATTGTTAAATTGCATGATTTGAAGTTGATTATGGAACTTTCACTAGTACAAAAATGACTTTTAAAATTGGGGTTTAAAAATCGGTCATCTGGTAGCCGATTTTAAAAGTCTCTGACGCTACTTTTAAAATCGGCTCATGAACAGCCGATTTTAAAAGTCTCTGACGCTACTTTTAAAATCGGCTCATGAACAGCCGATTTTAAAAGTCTCTGACGCTACTTTTAAAATCGGCTCATGAACAGCCGATTTTAAAAGTCTCTGACGCTACTTTTAAAATCGGCTCATGAACAGCCGATTTTAAAAGTCTCTGACGCTACTTTTAAAATCGGCTCATGAACAGCCGATTTTAAAAGTCTCTGACGCTACTTTTAAAATCGGTTATTAAACAGCCGATTTTAAAAGTAGTATCAGAGAATTAGTTACACTGTCTCTGCTCCTAGTGCTCCATTCTCTACTATTTTGCTTCACTATCATAAATTCTTCCTCTTTACTCTTTGGGACTCTCATCTAAAGTGTGGAGCTTCTCATTTTCTGGGACGAATACAACATTGAGGTAACATTTTCGTTTCATGCGTCTTATTTCATTGGTTTTGGGCGAACTTTGAGTCTGGAACGGCCCTGGAGAACGGCCCGTTCTGCAGAACGGGCCGTTCTGGGGCCGTTCCAGAGCCGTTCCCAGACACTATTTTAGGCATTTTTCTAAATTGGACCCCTTGTATGTATGTGTTATATATTTGTATTTTATTAATAATTTGTGATATAATTAATGTCTACCTAGTAATTTAGTGTTTAGAAAAATTAGGTGGTTTATTTGATTTTTATAAATTAGTATGATGTTATATTTATGCACATATTGAGTGAACCTTAGTTTCCCTTTTGAAATTTAATACAAATGATTAAAATAGTGAGATTAACGTTCATGGTCTATGTTTTTTTTTTGGAAGAACAGAAGTTATAGATAAAAGTTGGTTATTGAATCGAAGTTGGATACATGCATCACGTATAAGTGATGAGTATGAGACTGGAGTAGAATATTTTATTGAATATGTAATACGAAATGCTAATGATGATATGAATGGAAGGTTTTTTTGTCCTTGTGTTAATTGTTGTAATGCGACTCGCCTAGAAC